AAGAGAGAGAGATAGAGAGAGAGAGAGAGAGAGAGAGAGAGAGAGAGAGAGAGAGAGAGAGAGAGAGAGAGAGAGAGAGAGAGAGAGAGAGCACTTGTGCTGTGAAGAACTTTACTTCCCTCAATATGATTTTATGGACTTGAAGTTAGTACACTGTAAGCCTTTGTTGGAGTGTCATGTGTCATGGAATTTGCAAATGTCTCTTTTTTTTTCAATGAGTACAGTCATCTTGATGAAGCACTGACACCTTGATTTGCTTTTAAGAACCAGCCCCACTATCATTGGTCCTTTTTGCCTTTGCATGAATCATATTTATCCCAAATTCGTTTGTTACTTTTCCTATCTATATCATTTATTAAGTACTTTCCTGAAAGTGTAAATGAATATACATGCTTTCTTCAATTCTTTTCCCAAATAAGGACATATTTTATTATGGCATTTTAAAACTATAAATATTAAAATACTGCATGATTTTATTTTGATATGGCCCTGCTGAGCAGTTGTGTATTTCATTATATTTTTTCTATAAATATGTACTCATACAATTGGTTTGAGAAATGCATTACTATATTTTATTTCTATATAAAATACTTTTGTAAAATGCACTTTTTACCTCTTGTTTCCACTGTGTAGAAAAAGATAATGTACTTGCGACAGTATGAACTTTAATAAGGTAATATCGTAGAGTTCAAACAGATTTTTATAGGACAATAATTTATTTTCTGTGGCGTTATTAGTTGTTGGCTCAACTGCAGAAGATACTGAGAGTATTTCCAAGCCTTTTTTCCATTATTTTAGATTTACAAATTTAAATTGTAAGCAATAACTTGTCTTGTGCTTGGTGTTAACAGTTTTTTTTAATGAGAACATAATGTCTGTTATTGATACAAACGTTGTGGAAGCGTTGACAATAATATTTTTTTATATTAAAAATATTGCCATAACATCACGCGGCTAGTTGCTAATATACATATTCTGTGCACATACAGGTGACCGTGTAATTTTCGCTGAGAGTCCTTCGGCTCCAGGTGTTCCTGTGGTGTACCGCACTCCGGATGAGAGGTCTTCCAACCCCGACAGACTCAACCTTGACAGGTGATTCCTTGAGTACCTTTCATTGTTTTCTTGGGAGTTGTGTTTGTGGCTGGTATCTGTTCCTATTTTACATGCACTGATTTCTATGTGACTTGGGGGAAGGGGGAGAAACATTGAACCAGCACTTTGGTACTTTCGAGTATAGACTGGTGGGGGTGGGGGGAGACGAAAATATATGTTAACCTCCCTTTGTTATACACCAGTTGTGCCCTTTTCTGAAATGAAGTAGCACTTTCTTAGTCTCTGTGTCTGTTCTACCCTCTCCTCTTCTTTTTTCACCCTGACCCCAGCAGGAGATGCGACCCCTCTGTTAATGATCTAAGATCTAACCCTGATGCTGTAGCTGATAATTATCTTGTTGATGTGCTTCTCTGTTCCTCAACCATGGTACCTTTTTGGATGCAGTGTGTATGGCAGACACCACTGGCAGGTCCTATTCCCTTACTGTCCTGATTTTTTTGGATATGTTACACTTTTTTTGCTTTTTTTCTATCCCTCTTTTATTTTTATGTCTGTGTTTTCCTTTTTGCCCAACTCCAAATGACCCTTCATGTGTTAATGTTCATGTACCACTTTTCTCAAAATGAAACTCTTTCTTACTTTTCGTTGGCTCATAATGACCATTGTGGGTGATTGGAGGGCGCCATTAGTATGTCCTATTTCTTTTCTTTCCCTCTGTTGTTTTCATGTTTCTGTCTTACCTTTTCCTTGCTCCCAATGATTGTTATAGTGTCAGTGTGCCTGTACTTACTTATTTATCCTCTGTTGCCATTAAGCGTCGAGGGAAGATGCAGTTTCCTATGGTAGGCCAGCTCCACAGCTCTTTCAGTTGTGATATTATGTTTTCTCAGGGTTTCCTTGACACCCTCGATCCTCCTTTTGCGTGGCCTTCCTCTTCTTTTATAGCCTGAGTGCATGGTGTTGTAGGCTCTTGAGGCTGGCTGGCCAGATGACATATGTAACAGGTGGCCAAACCATTTTATTCTCTGCCTTTCTATGTAATGCAGGCAGGACTCAGTGCCGATAGCTGCTCTTACTTCTTCTTTTCTCTGCTTGTCTTGTCTTATGATTTTAAAGCTTTTGCGGAGACTTTTCATTTTGCCTGCAGTGATTTTGCTTTCTTGGGTTTTACTAAATGTCCAGGTCTGGCACTGGTAGCATAATTTTGGTATGAACATTGAGGTGATAAGCTGTTTCTTTGTTTCCATGGAGATGTTTGGATGAGATATGGGGGTGCGGGCTGGTAGGTGACAGCAATGGCTTTTTGAGTTCGCATTTCTATTTCTCTGTCTATGGACCTGTTTTCAGAAAAAGTACTGCCAAGATATTTGAACTCCTTCACCTGTTTAAGTTGTTTACTATTGACATGGATGTTCAGGGGACTACGGTTTCGGCTCACTTTCAATATTTCTATTTTTGATATGCTTATTTTCATGTTAAATTTGTCACAGCTGTTGTTCAGTTCAGTAGTGTGATTTTGGAGGCTTTGTTGGTTTGGATGAATAAGACATTGGTCGTGTTGGAATAATACTTCATTTAGACTTTCTGGGCTTTGGTTTGTGTCTTACGTTATTGTGTCCAATATAGTATAAACAGAAGTGAGATAAAACGCATCCCTATCGTACTCCAGATCTCACTTTGAACCAGTCTGTATTGCTTTCCTTCGTTCTTACTTAGCTTCTGCTTTGGTATATAGAGCTCTGACATTATCTAACATTTGTCCTCTCACGCCATACTTTTCGAGTGTTTTCCAGAGTTTTGCATGGTTGACTCTGTCAAAAGCCTTCTCCTGGTCTATAAAGATGATGTTGGACTCTTTGTTGTGTTCGATTGTTTTCTCGCATATCTGTCCTAATGCGAATACAGCATCCGTGCATCCTCTTCCCTTTTGGAATCCAAAACTGAGCTTTTCTCAAATTTCTCTCTACAATAGTGCCTGTCTGTACTCAAACTAAGTGACTATTCTTGTATCAATATTTGTTTTTTCCTCAGACTTACTCCACTTTTAAACTTCCAGGAGGAAGCTGTCAGTATGCCTAATCCTGCTACTGTACTCAAACTCTTTCTTTCACAAACTCTAATTGGCAATAGTTTTATCGGTGTCACTCTCTGTCACTAAATCTTATTCCACATCCCTCTCTTTTTCTAAATCATTTGCCTGTTATCGTGGTGAAATCTGGTGCTTGTCTAATTTATAATAAAATTAAAGAAACCAAGACTTTTCTGCCCTTGGGCAATTTTTATCTGGGTTATTTTTTGGCTCAACACCTTCTGTGTCCACTTAAAAGCACATTTCTTATTGAATTTTACGAAAAAATGTAGATCAAAATCACGAAGTTTCCAAGGACTTTCAAGGTTTGGAAGTCACCAAAGTTTGGTGGCCATTTTCTTGTTAAATGTTTCCTCTGACACCTGGCAACCCCCACCTCCTTTAATCACGAATTTCTCTACTCCTATTCGAGATAGATAGATGTCTTTTCCATTAAAAAAACAAGACAAACGAAAAACTTCAGGATGATATCAATAACTCAAAATGCCCAATTATTGAAGCGTGCCTGATTCCACTATGCCACAACACACATTCCGCTTTGACATCACCAGGAGGAAGCTGTCAGTATGCCCGATCCTGGAGGGAGAGGAACAGCTGCGACTGCTCAACTACCAGCACAACCAGATCGTCCGGATCCAGCATCTGTCTTCCCTCAAGCGCCTCATCTTCCTGGACCTCTACGACAACCACATAGAGGAGATCTCTGGCCTGGCCGCTCTCAAGTCTTTGAGGGTCCTCATGTTAGGGAAGAACAGGTGGGGATTCTTTGTGTTCTTGTTGTCTTATAGATGTGTGGGCACTCCAGCATTTTAATTGCGGAATCTGCAGGATGGGGAATTCTTTTCTTCATGTACGAATTGTGCTATGTACATGTTTCATATACACAGAATATACATGTATAAAGAAAAATTTAGTACCTGAAAATCTGTTTATTATGTGTGTGTTTTGGTATATGTGTGATCTATCTATTTGCCTGTCTGTATGTCTCTATTTGTCCATCTGTCTGTCTGCATATTTGTCTGTTTATATCTGTCTGTCCATCTGTTCATCCATCCATCCATCGATCCATCTATTTATCTCTATATATATATCTTCCTATATATCTACCTATATAATGTATTATATCTTGTATATATGGATAGTGTAATGCTTGAACTGTGTTACTAGAAAAAACAGGTCAACTCCTTTTTTGTTCTAAAACCATTGTCAAGGTCGAATTTTTGGGTCGTCCCAAAATATTTAAAAAATCAGCATGCACTTTATAAATGATAAAAGTTTTGTTGTCTTCTCTCATCATATTAACGTTAACAAGTTGTAAGCCTAGACCTGTTTTAAATATTTTTTTTGTATCAAGGTTGATTTGAAATCTGTAAACCTTAGCATTGAAGCCTAAAAATGAAATGTTTCAAGCTATTTGCATGTATTACATACCCAAAATTTTCAGAAAAAAAGATAGTTAAAAAAAAAGAATTTGAGGACACAGTTGCAGTACAGGCAAGTAGATGTTTATGATAAATGAAGAAAACAAGAAGCAATCAATTATTCAGCATCTAGTCAGTGGGTGTGCCTACTTCTAAAAGAGGGTTTTTTTGTTGTGTTTGTTAACAAATTTTCAAAACTGCAGGCACAGTGTTAGAGAATAGTACCATTAATATGTGTATACTAATGTACGTTTTTGTGAAAGAAAGCTCCCAATATATATATGTGTGTGTGTGCATGAGCGTGTGTGCGTGCGTGCGTGCATGTGTGTGTTACCGTATGAACTTTCATTCTCGCCACCATAATTATTGTTGTTTTTTTTCAGAATAAAAAAGATTGAAAACTTGGACTCTTTACTCAAACTGGATGTCCTTGACCTTCATGGAAATCAGGTTTGTACATTTTAGTACAGTTTCACTTCCAGTTTCATAACTGTAAATATAAAGAGGCATGAGTGAGTTAAACTGAATTTTTAAGAACTTTAAATATGGTTTTGCTTTCAACCGAGAACATTCAATTAAAAATGCTGAGTTAGAAAAAACCAAGGTCAGTTATGCTGTGCCAAGATTATCGTCAGCGTGAGTATGGAGAAAGGAGTACACAGGAATAGTTGCTCTTTGTTTTTAAATTATAATCTCCTACTTAAAGTTGGAATAGATTTTTTTCATAGATCAAGTGTCTAACTGTTTGTTCTTATTGTACTGTTTAATGTGAACAATCTTTGAAACTCATTGATCAAATGTTTGCTGCTGCTGCAGCAATGCAACATAGACTTTACTATGCTCAAAAGAAGATGTTGAATATAGCCTCAGACTTAACACTCCTCTGTGTTATGTTTGAATTCTCAGATATCAAAGATTGAAAACTTGAACCACCTGTCGGAGCTGAGAGTTTTGAACTTGGCAGGTAACGCCATCTCCTATGTGGATGAGCTGAGGGGTATTGACTCTTTGGCAGAGCTGAACCTGAGACGCAACAAAATACGCACAGTGGTAAGTTAAGTTATTTCCGTTAATGCTTTAGACCTGAGCATTTGCTCTTATCCTTTTGTGCTCTGAGCACATTCTTTGGTGTGCTGTGGTGAAAATCTAAGGGGTCCTACTCATATACGTTTCAACCGGGCGGTTTTAACCTGAGTGGCGTTTGATCCACCAGCGCAAAACCGCCATTCGACAGGTCGGTGCTTCATCCACATCACGCATGGTTTAACCGCTGCAAGTGTACTGACAATGATGATTTGCTTACAATTCATGTGCTGCTCACAGGGAAGAATTTTGTTTTCTTTTTAATTATTGAAAAACAAATTCTGCTCGGATCTTGCCTTAAAAATGGGTATATGTGTAGGGGGCCTAAGAGTCTGCCTGAAGGAGCTCAGGAGCTAGGATCCTGTAGAGTTGATATTTTTCATTTCAGACTTTGAGAACTATGAAGGGGAGAAAAATGCTTATAGTGGAATAAAAGTGGTATTTGTAAGAGTTGTTGGCTTCTCTGTCAAGTCCATCTGATTTGATGTATTTCTATTAAGTAACTTCTGGTACAAGAGCTCCACCAAATGTGTTATATTACTGTTCCGAGGGGAAAAAATGCTCTTCACTATTCAGTACTTTGGGTGTTTTGAGCAATATGGGTCATGACGTGGTGGAATCTGGCACTTATTCATTTTTGGGCATGTTGAGGTATTGGTGTCATCTAAAAGTTTGTTCATTTTTCTTGCTTTAGTTAAAAAAAAATACCCAGCTATCTTGAACAGAAATTGAAATATTTGAATGAGGTGGAGGTTGCCTGTTTTTAGAAGTCAAATTAACGAGAAAATGGCCACAAAATTTTGGTGACTTCCAAAGTTTGAGAGTCCTTGGAAACTGCAAATTTACCATTTTTGTGCCTTTAATTAAAGTTTTTCAGTAAATTCACACCCACACACATGGATGTGTTTTTAAATGGAAACAAAAGGTGTTGAGCCAAAAAATAAGAATTCGATAAAAATTTGCAAACGGGCTTGCCCATTTCTTCAATTTCATTATTTTGACAATCGCCTGATTTCACCACGATGCCTCACACATTCTTAGACCTGTCTCTTTTCGTTCCAGTGTAGAATAAATCTTATTGTATGACTGTAATACTTTGATCTCATTTTTAGTTCTGGTGGCTGTTTTGTAACAACAGAATTGTGAATACACTTGCTTGAGTGCCTTGTCAATACTATTTTATTCGCTTACCTATACTACTTTTTGAACTTCATGGGAGTCTGTCTATGTATGGTATATTTGTAATCGGGACGCCAAGTTAGATAGATACAGAACAATTTTGCCTTTGCTTTGATTATTCAGAGCATTTGTCTTTACTTTTTGTAGATTCACCTTTTTTTTTAGAGGTGGGGGTCAAAGTTTCTCCACATCTTCTCTCAGATAGTTTTGTTCTGGTATATTTGTCTACCCATTAATTTATTTTGCCTTGGTCACATACAGTGACAATGGTGTTACAAAGGTCCTATTCTGCACTCACCCATGCACACAACATAAGAGAACATAACTATTACATTATTATTACATGTTTAAACCGCTCCGCATCATAAACATTCTCTCACTCTCGCCCTCTCTCTCTCTCTCACTCTCTCTCTTCTCATACACACACACACACACACACACACACACACACACACACACACACACACACACACACACACACACACACACACACACGCACACACACACGCACATACACATTCTCTCTCTTCCTCTCTCACTCTTACTCTTTCTCCCTGTCTCTCTCTCTCTCTCTCTCTCTCTCTCTCTCTCTCTCTCTCTCTCTCTCTCTCTCTCTCTCTCTCTCTCAATCTCTCTCACTGTGTGTCTTGTTCATTTGGACAATGTCTTACTATCTATCTGTCTATCTATACAATACTGGTTGGATTTTGTTCATAGTATTCTTTCAATTACCAACTCCTAATCAATATTGGTTCTTGTCTTATTGTTTCCAAAATATCCTATTCAGAAGAAAAAAAAATTAATATGAAAGGTACTGTTGTGCAAAGTAAAATTTCTTATGTAAATTGATTGCCTCAACAGACTGAGATAGACAACCTGCCAAACTTACAGAGATTGTTCCTTAGCTTCAATGAAATTTGCAGGTAAGTTAATTTTTTTTACTCTTGAAAGTAAAACGATACTGTTTATGCAACTACCTTCCGAGATTTTACCCTCTTGCTCTTCAAAGCAGTTCTGTTTAATCATGTTTTCTGCTTTTATATTTCTATTGGTTGCCCCTTACTCAGTGGTCTCCTTTTGTTATGCTTTCATATCTTGTCTGTGTCTCCATTTTCAAAAGAAGCAACTGCATGTCCCAAGGAACAGGTGTTGTTGTTGAGAAGGCTTTACTGTATAACGTTTGTCAAAATTCAATGTTTAAATTAGTACGATAATACAAGATTTGTTGATTGTTTTTTGAAGTTGAAGGGCACAATTTTAATCTGATATCCTTTTCCCATCGAAGTTCGTCATACCTTGCATCTGTGGCAAAGTAGCTGAAAGTAATGTGATAAGAGTCTTCAGTTGGAGCAGATACAAGATTAAACTGTCCCTGTTGATGAAAACAGTTTTAGTTTTGTTTCTCCCTCTTTGTCTTCTGGGTTAAAAGAATACGTTCTCATTACTTTGCTTGTTGATGTTGTCCATTTTTTCTTGAATGATTGTGGATTCTCGGGTGTTTATGTTTGATATCTTCATTAAGATAAATATGTTTCTAGTGGAAAGTACTGATCAGGTGTTTTCTCAGCTTTGGCTTTTGTGCTTCAGTGACAGTGTATTTCTTTACTTAATTTTTAACTTTTCCTCCTCTTTTGCCGTTAGATATTGAAGGGAGATGCAGTTTTGTATGGCAGGCCAACTCTGCAGCTCTTTCAGCTGGGATGTCATAAGTTCTTAGGGTTCATTTGGCTTCTTCAATCTATCTTTTGCATGGTCTGCCTCATCCTTTATAGCCCGATCACTTTGTGTTATAGGCTCTCGTGGCTGGCTGGCTTAGTGACATTCGTATCAGGTGGCCAAACCATTTTGTTCTTTGTTTTTCTATGAAATAGAGGCAGGATTTTGTGCCAACAGCTACTCTTACTTTTTTATTTCTCCACCTGTCTCATCTTGTAATGTTTGGGGTTTTACGGAGACATCTCGTATGCAGTGATTTTGTTTTCATGGGTTTTACTTAATGTCCTGGTTTGGCACTGGTAGCATAATGTTGGTATAAATATTGAAGTGATGAACTCTGTCTTTGTGTCCATGGAAATATTTGAATGAGATAGAAGGGGTGCAAGCTTATAGATGATGGTTCTGGCTTTTTTAGTTGGCATTTCTATTTCTCTATTTACGGACCCGTTTTTAGAAAAAAATGCAGCCAAGATAATTAAACTCATTGACCAGTTTTAGTTGTTTATTGTTAACATGAATATTTAGTGGGCTATAATTATGGTTTCGGCTAACTTTCACAACTTCAGTTTTGATATACTTATTCGCATGCCAATTTTCTCACTGCAGCTGTTGTTCAGTTCGGTTTGTGGTTTTTGTCTTTGTTGGTTTGAACGAATAATATATTGGTACACATTGGTTGTCTGCAGACAGAAGCTCATATAGGCATTCTGGGCTTTGGTTTGCATCTTGTGAAAGTGTATTATGGTGTTACGGTATCAAAAGGATCAGTACTGACATTTCTGTGGTTATTGAACTTTGAAGAAGTACACGTTGCTTCATATCAGAAATATTCGGTAGAAAGAAAATATTGATGTGTTTCTGTTGTTGTTTTTTTCTATATATTTTATATCATATAAAACCAGTGAAAAGATACGGAGGGGGGGAGGGGTATTCTGACGATCTGACCCTCTACCCCCACCCCCACCCTCTTCCTTATGAAAATCTAATTTAAAAAATGTATTTTTTAATCTGTAAAATGGTACACATGTTTTTTTTTCACGAACATGAAGTGGACATATTTGAAAAAAGAAACGGAACATATCGATTGAAATGAAGAGACAACCTACAACACACCGGGAGTAATGAAGCATGACGTCCTCATGTCACAAATGTAAATTCTGTACCGACGCCTGGGCCCCCTTTGAACCCCAGTCTTTTGTTTCGCTGGAGCTCGTCTAACGGCTCAATGATCGGACGCCAATCAGTGGCGAGATATCTGGCTGCAGATCGCATTGATTTTTACTGACAGTCTTAATGCCGTGTGCCTTGTGCGGTGCTTGAATTCAGATTTGTATCTGTATGGACTAAGGAAAAAAACATTTTTGTATTAAAAATTGTTTGTATCGAATAACGGAGGCTTGTAGGTTTGGAAGACATATTTGGCTGTTTCATAGGGCAAATGTTTTGTTTTTGATTTTGTTTTATTTATTTATTTTTATTGTTTAAATCTAAATGTCTTTTTAAAAAGGAAAAAAATCAATCACGACGATGAATGTATCTATTAGCAAAGACGAGCAGGACTATCGTGTGTGTGTGTATCGGTGATTTCTGGGGAATGTTTTCGCGTATGGTGTCTGCCACAGACGTTGAATTAAGATTGTGTGTGGGCAACTTGTTAGGAACTTTAGGATATTATCAACTTTGTTTTTATGGAATGAGAAAGACGGTGTGTGTGTATATAGTTTGATCTGTTCTGTAACACCGACTTCTTCAAATTCCCGTGCATTGTATTTGGTCATTTTTGTTTTCTTATTATTAAGCCGAGATTTGTAAATCGATTTGATGGACTACGAGCTGACTGGGGATATAAATTTTAATGTCTGCTCGGCCCCACAGGGGTGATGGCATTCCTGCATCTGTGATGGCCATCGTACACGGCAACCTCTCGGGCACAGGGTTGGCTAGTTTTATCGGTATCGTTTCTGTTTTGCTCACATTTTTCAGGACCGATGTTTCGAACAACAGTTCTGTCTTGTAAAAAAGGGAAAGATCGCTAAGACCCGCTTAGTGGTCAATTCCCACTTTCGAAGTGACATGTCTAATAGGCGTATTCGATAACAGTGCTATTTTTTTTTTTATTCCCTGGTCTCTGACGGTAGCTAAATGGAACAGCAGTTCCCGCGAAGCAAAGGATCATGTTACACAATATTTCATTAAAGAAAGTAAATTCGTTCCATGTGCGGGTGAGACTGTTTTTATATTTATCCAAACAAAACAAGCGCCGTGTGCTCTTTTATTTTGAAAAATGGCGCCATACCTGGCGGGCTTATACTGGAAAACGTTGATACAACATCAGTTTTTAGTTCTTTAGGTTGTTTGAGGGGTTATTTTTGTTTCCCGATGTGGGAAAAGATTGAATTACATTTAGGGCATTGTCACAGTTTTAGTGTAAGTGATGGAACTGATACCATGGAGCTGGTGGGCGTACATTAAAATTTGTAGTCTACCGTTTGAAAAGACTTAGCTGTCTTTTTTGTTTGATTGTTTGGTTTGTTTGTTTGTTTGTTTTGTCCCTATTCATTCCTACCAAATGATGCTTTTATGTTTTAGTAGACACAACAGAATTGCCAAAAGTAGAAGTAACATAATTTACTAAAGAAAAACAGAAGAGAGAAATGGGTTTGTTAGTACTTGTTTTGTTATTGTCGCTGAGGCTGTTTGACATCAACGCCATCATCATCCTTGGGTTTTGGCTGTTTACACCTTTTTAGCTTTCTTTTAAAGTTAGTTGTTGACGACTTCTTCGTTGAGAGGACGCTTCATTGGCCATGCTTGTTCTCATACAATTATACTACTATTTCTGGGTTTCGGTTTTGTTTTTGTTTTTGTAAAGTGTTTTACGGCGCTCGCAACTGCAAAAGGTTATATGAGCGCGCGGGACACACCTAATATTTTCAGTTGGTAGGAAATTTTGAATTTTGCCCGGGTGGTGGCCGAAGCCTACTCTTATCGATTTTAGACCACCAAGGGATCTTTAACGTGCGCAACTTGCACACGGGCCCTCCGAGATTTTTCGCCCTTGTCCGAGAAGGCTAGGTGTAGATCATTCCTACCAGAAGATCAGGGGTGTGGCAGAAAGACAGCAGTAAGGAGGAGCCAAGGAGTAGCAGTAGAAAGGCTGCAGAAAGAGTCAGGAGGGGGCAAAGGAGGTGAGGGGGTGGGGGCAGAAAGTGGAAATGAAAGCAGACAACAGAACATTGCTAGAGAGCAGGAAAGGAGGTGAAAGGAGACAATTTTAGAGAAGAAAATGTTTTGGTCGCTACCCGGATTCGAACCCGGGACCTTTGAATGAGAGGCCAATACTTTAACCTCTAGGCCACGAGAGCCCCCTCTGGGCTTCCGGTATAACAGCGTTTAAATGTTATTGCTGTACTATCTGCATGGCGTATGTCAGTGGGCTCTTGGCTCCGTTAATGACCCTTAGATCGGCTTCATCGCTGCTGTGATAAATAATGGAGAAGGTGCTTAATTGCCCTGAAAAGCATCACGTAAGATGCCGTAAGCACCCAGTAATCTAACCAAGACTACAGTTTAGTGTTGGCTGAAGAATGGATGGGTAACTAGTACGAAATCCTTTGAAGGAGAGAGGACAGACAGACAGACAGACAGACAGAGTGTATATATGTGTGTGTGTGTGTGTGTGTGTGTGTGTGTGTGTGTGTGTCTGTGTGTGTGTGTGTGTGTGTGTGTGTGTGTGTGAGAGAGAGAGAGAGAGAGAGAGAGAGAGAGAGAGAGAGAGAGAGAGAGAGAGAGAGAGAGAGAGAGAGAGGGGATATGTGTTATCTGTTCTGCGTGGGAAAGCTCTCTCCATCTGCTAGAATAGTTTCGTCTGAGTCGATCGAACAGAGGTTCATCATTATTCAAACGTCGCTATTGTGTTCTTAACGATTAAAAGGAAAATAAAACTGTATTCTGTCGTTGTGTCCCCCAAAGTGAGCTTTGTTGATAGAAATTGAGCTGGAACTTTTATAAGTAAAAGAATTGTTGGCATTGCCTTTTTATGCCCAGTTACAGTAAAACCTAGGCTGTTTTTTTCTTGCAGGTAGAGTGCTAGCATATTTCTCTGCTGAATTATAACAAACCATCACTTTTTTGACCGAACGAATTAAGAAATATGGATTAAAGCAGCACTCAGTCGATGATTAGTTCGAAGAAATCAATAGCTCCTCTGGTGGTGCCGGGCTGGCTGATTGACTGGCAAAGTGTGGGTTAGTCGGCAGATCCATACTGGATGGTCTATTGTATCTTAAGTCTTTCAGGATGTGTGCTGGATCAGTGGTGGTATTGGGACGGTGTTTGCTCGAGCGCGTGGAACAAAGAGGGGGGTGGCTTTGTCAAGGTTTGATTGCGTTCACTCGGGTGGAACAGAGATCATCTAATTATTCCTATAATCTGTGCGTGGCTCTGGAGAGCGGATCAAGTGTGAGGAGATTGTTTTTTACTGGTGTGGTAAGATTGCGATGAAAATAGAGGGGGATAGAGGAGACGGGCAGAGGGAGTGGTTGGGGTGGGTGGTGGGAGAGAGAGAGAGAGATAGATAGATAGATAGATAGATAGATAGATAGATAGATAGATAGATAGATAGATAGATAGATAGATAGATAGATAGATAGATAGATAGATAGATAGATAGATAGATAGATAGATAGATAGATAGATAGAGAGAGAAAGAGAGAGAGACAGAGAGAGAGACAAAGAGAGAGAGAGAGAGAGAGAGAGAGAGAGAGAGAGAGAGAGAGAGAGAGAGAGAGAGAGAGGAGGGGGGGAGAAACAGAGAGAGAAGGCGACCAATTTTTCAGTTCTTTGAGACACCAGATTATTGGCGAGGCGCCGTCCCAGAAGCGTTCACTTTGTAGATTCGGTATCTAATTTTCAGCACAGTGTATTTGAACCCAATAATAATATCGTGTTTCTTTGTGGTGTTTCGTAGAAGTGTCCAAGCGTTACACTTAGGTGTTTTATGTACTACGGAAAAATCGTTCGTTTAATTGATAAACGGCTCTATTGTTCAGGGGCATAATGTGCTTTTATAATATTAGAAACACACTTTTTGACAATAGTGATCATGTGCAGGAGTAACAGAAATTGAAGTGTCATTGATTGTTTGAAAACTGGAATACTTTTTAACTTAAGTGGTTTCGAGTAAATTACTCGCCGTCAATGGTTTTTATTACAAACTTAACTTCACAGACTGGTGGCAGGCGCCTCTGTCCACAACAACGGCACATACTGTTAAATTTGGATCAGGCCATTCTTTATGCTAGTTTTCTTTTTGGGGGGGGGGGGGGGGGGGAGGGGTGCTAGCAAAATGTAATGACATGCCCCAGTTGGTAAGAGAGAACGAGAGAAAGAGAGAGGGTGGATATTGATTGAACCTATCATAATCGTTAAAACCGTGTATACAATTCACCGTATAGTAGAATGGCTTACGCTGCAAGACCACGAGATGGAGTACTAGCACACTAGCACGTTATATTGCTGGGCTTTGTGAATACAGTGCCGTGCTGCGGTGTAATAGTTTAGCTCTTCACCGTTGCGCACTTAAAAGTTCGATTCCTGTGTGGAGGAGTCTGTTTTACCAAATATCTTCGTCTACCTCATATATTGCTGCACCCCCACCCATCCTAGGTTGACACTGACACACAGAGTCGAAGCTACTCTCCTGTGTGATGTAAATTGTGTCGACGGTACCGAAAAGTGATACCAAAAACTATGTGCTATTTAATACATTTCTTGCTTAAACATCTCTCGTTTGTGTGCCTTGTTTTATGGCAATGACTCTTGTGTACGCCTTGTTGTTAATTTCCACGAACAGCCCATTTAATCGACTTGGCGAACAAATATCCATTGCTTGATATTGCAATTTGTTCCATATTGTGAACGCCAGCTGAACGGACAGTTTAATATGACAACTCTCTTAATTGATGAATGCTAACACAATGTGTTCAGCCGACTCTGGTGTTCTTGTCAAGGCGAGAGTCTGTGTAGATGGTTCCTAAACAGATGTATTCGTTCATGAATTCGAAGGATTTTCGTTGGATTTTCTGAATTTCTACAAAAGGAAAGAGAATCTACAGACAAAGCTGTAGTGATAAGATTCATAATGTGGCACTATCGACAGTACAGGAGTAAAATAGCGTCCAACCCCAGGGACATGTGAGTTAACAATGTTTGAGGCATTATAATGACCAAATGCTTTTCTCCCCTGTAATATAAGGGAGATGTACAGGTGTGAAGAAATTTTGGAGCAGAAGAATTTCTTTCAGTTTTTAAAGTTACAATGATATATACATTGTAGGTCCAGTCGTTTGATATTTGTGCTATACAGAAAAATGTCATGTAACGTTTGTAACAGCTAAAAACAAAATTATTCAGGCAGGTACCATTAGCTGGTCCGTTTTTTCTAGTACCTACAATGCCACACAGCAATAATTACGTTTCTACTCTTGTTTCGTTACTTGGGCCAGGCGTCGTTCTGACGACAATTGACAATAAAGAAAATAGCAAAATCATTTGTGGGACGTAGGCTGCTCTTTTTAGATAACAATATTTTTGGTAAAAAAGCGTTATTGACAGGGCAAACCTGAAACTGCAACAATTGTGTAGGAAATGTGTTTCACTATGCCATCGTTTTGCGTTTATGTATTACAACAAATAATTGCTAGTGAATCAATCTGCATCGATTACTGTTTGCGTTTGTTTTGGGGTAAAAAAAAAAAATCCAGTTGTGTATTTCGAGATGAAATTGCTGTGTTAGAAAAATTTGAGATAGGCAGCAGTTTTACAAATATTTGAAATGTACTGCTGTATTATTGACTATCGCCCTTTTCTTTTCCAGTTTTGAGGATGTCCAGTGTTTGGCCGACTCCAACAGCCTGTCGGAGATCTCCCTGGATGGCAACCCGATCTGCCAGGACCCCAGCTACAAGCAGACGGTGCTCCGACACATGCAGCAGCTCAAGCAGCTGGACATGAAGCGAGTCAGCGTAAGTCTTTGTGTATGAATGTTGTTGTTGTTGGTGTCGTTGTTATTGTCGTTGCTTTTGTTGTCGTCGTCGTGGTTGTCGTTATTGTTGTTGTTGCCATTGTTATTGTTGTTGTTTTTTGTTGTCATTGTTGTCTCGATACTTTAAAAGAGTGCAGTGGTGGTACACTTGTGCGACGTCTCTCAATTTTTGCATGATCTGACTTGGTGGGAAAAAAATAACGGTAAAGATAACAAGATTTGAAGACCTTTTATTTTCAGTTTTATAATTATGGTGATGATATTGACACCCTTAAAGCGTTTCTTGCCTATGAATCTTTTGTGCTGTTACAAAAGGAATTTAAGATAGTTTTGATATTGCTCTTTGGCTCGTGCTGCTGTTCTTTAGTTTTGGTCCAAATTTTCGAGGGATCGTCTCATGTAGGGGTGACAGATTACTCAAGCTGATAACAGTTTAACAAATGCTAACTCGACCTCATTAGTTAAGTTAATATGCATTCAGCTTTTAAAGAATAGACATTGGGCTCGCTTCTGTCATGCTTTTTGGACTGCTGGGACGGCCAAACGTTGCTGTGCTTTAAGGATCGGAAAGTGAACATGTTTTTAATAAGGGGGAGGGGGATTGGAATATTCTCAAAAGGGTCACGGTGCATCCATTTTTCACCGGAAAAGACCAGATCAACCCAAGGCAGATCCTCTGCTCTTTAACTTAACGGCTTTCTGCTTCATATCTGCTTCTTTATCAAAGACCTGTTACTTTTCATTTAGCTTAATATTAAGTTAACATAATCTTTTCAGGACACATCAAATACCCCAGCGAGATTTTTCTTATAGGACAGCGTTATTTAAATAAGCAGGAGGTGAAACTATGGTTTTTGGCCTGCCGTCTTCTTGTGTCCTCTTCTATGGAATGTTTTTGAATCTTGCACGTTTCAGCGTTGTATTTTTCTTCTTTTAACAAACATTTAGGAATTCAGATGGACTTGATACATAACTATAGAACTCAGCCTAGAGGGCGAAGGGTCATGCAAATTTCCCATAGCAATCCAAGTCTAAAGGGGCCCATACATGTTTTTTTTTTTAAGCGTCAAAATTTTGCATTGAAATTTTAATGCGAAATTTAGGTACAAAATTTTGATGCACAATTGCCCACACACGTTTTAGTGCTTTTCCCATCAAAATTTCAAAACCCAGTATTGTCGAAATCTTCGACATGGATGCATCAGGCATGGCGATCTCGTCTCCTCGGCGGTCACATGCGACATATATAAGTTTGATAAAAATGTTTACAGGAACCCACACACGCATCTGAAATATGACGACTCGTCACAAAATATCACCCGGTGATCCGGCAAACTTTTGATTCAAATCTTTTTTTTTTTTTTTTGGTACACACTGTCGATTGATGTAAAATATTGACGCTTTTTTTGAATGTGTATGGGCCTCTTAAGAATGCTCCATGGGAAATTCGATCCAGATTCAATATCACCAAAAAAGTGCAGATATGTGCAGATTCTGCAATGGTGTACCCTCCTAGCGTCCTGCACTGCAAGTTCAGTTGGCTTCTTGTTAGACTATGATGCGGAACGCCTTGGTTCGAGTCGCTTACTTGTACTTGGGTTTTTTGGAAAGTCTTCCGAGACATTTCACCCACGTGACTGGATCCTATCGGAGATAGAAGTGAAATCCTGAGGTCTTTCCTCTTAAGCAACCTAACAGTGTTTAAATGGGTGTAAACCCTTAACATACCACACATGGTATCTCGCTTTTTCTGTTGTTGGGAGCAGTTGATACTTGCATGATGTGATTCCTTTTAACATTCTTGCCCATCAACCAGCCTCTGTTATTTTATGCTTAGATTCTTTTTCGTAGCTCTTAGATAGCTCTAAAATATACCCCATGAGATAAAATACACATCACATTTTTTAACTT